TGCGAGAGATATGTGGTGGAAATGTTTAGATTTATATGATAATTGTGAAGCTAAATGTGCTAAGCAGGCTGAATTATTGAAAATGTCCTGTAGTGACCAATTGGTAAAAGTAGTGCTCTTTGATTTAATCGCCGTTGTGGCATAGTTTCGCTTGGCTCATTTCTTTTTAGGTAAAATTTTTTCACGAAAGACGCGAAAAAATACTTAACAATAAAGAATACAGACCGCGAAAACCAATTGATAATTATTTAACTGACTTCCGTAATAATGCTAATCATAACTTTCCTTATCATCAAACAGAATTTCCGTTCGATGACTGATCTATTTTGCTTGCAAAGTTTTTTGTAAAATTTGTAATAAACCGAGTGATTTTTTTCTCTTTACTAACTTTTGCAGCTTAATTTTTTTATGATTAAAAAGTTTATGCTCAAAAGATATTCGCTGTTGTTGCAATTTGTGCTTTAGATAAGTCATTTTCAAAATGAATCGGTTGATGATGAAGATTTGAATTTATTAGCATTGATTCAAAAATGTGTTTCACTTTTGTATTCTTTCTATGTCAAACAGTATTTGATCGTTTCTCTATATCGTCTGAACACGAAGGCTCATTTATATAGTTTCTGCATTACGAATTATCTGATGTATATTGAATGGTTTTATTACAATTTATAAAGTCTGATCATCTTGGTTATAAAACTGACACTGACTTATTGGATATCGGTTTTACAGATAAGTAATAAGCAGATATGAAATATGATAAGTTCAACCTTTTTTTGAGAGTAACTCATTTTGATTGCATTCTAATGGCATATTCACTAGAAACAATTAGAAAAACATGGATAATTAACGCTAAATACCGCGAATCAGATGGAAACAATCGTGTTAATTATTAGCGAATTGATTATTACTAAAATACAGTTTTGTCATTAATAATAACAAGTGATCAATCAAAATAATCTTACATTAGATAAACTAATAGTCATAAGAGTATGCACCTTTTTTGCTTTTCATACGTGATTAATATTGATATTTTCCTTTTTCTGTAATTTTGAAGGTGCCAATTAAAGTAGATATGGTTGGGGCAGTCAAAACCTCGTATTCGTAGCGAAGAATGAACTAAATTAAAAGCTTCGAACAAAAAGTTTATTGGAAGAACAATAACAATTATTAACACATCAAAAGAAATTGTAAAAAGCAGTAGCACAAGGATTAATTAACGAAAACATAAAGAGATTTAATTTGGACGCTTGTTATTTTTGTGCAATTGTGTTTGCTGTGTGAACCTTCGTTTGACTGTTTTTTTTATGATACAATTTATGAAAACAGTTACTGAATAAACAAACTATCTTAAATATCCTTTTCATTGCTTATCACGAGTACTATTCAGTGTTGAGAGTTAAAATGCAGTTTGCATATGTGTATCAAACAGACACTTCTATAGTTTTTCGCTATTTTCAGAAGGATCCTGAAAAAAGTTTAATTTTCTATTTTTCTGTTTTTTAAGGACGTACTGCTACTATGTCAGATAGTGAGGATGATTGTGAATTGAGTAGATTATTAAAAGATGAACGAGAATTAGAAACAATAGAAACAACTGTTGACGATACTATTGTGCTTCCATTAGTAACAAAACTTCGTCCAATACCATCAAAAACAGTCAATGATAGTTCAATTTATGTAGATTTAACTACTGGTCTGCGTATAAATTCATTATGTTTTACTCAAACTGAAATAAAAAGTAAGCTATCATTAACAAAATTAATTCGTCTGTCACAAATAGAACAACAAAGTCAACAGTTACCAAACGATTGGTGTACATTAGCCATATTAGCGAATAAAGCGGATATAAAACAAGCGGCAAATGGGTCAAATTACAGTTGTTGGCGGTTAACTGATTTTAAAACGCAACAACAATTAGTCACGTTATTAGTGTTCGGTGATGCTCACAAAACATTATGGAAAACAACATTAGGAAGTGTATTTCTATTGTATAATCCTGATGTTAAAAAAGGATCATCGTTATCGATTCATCAAACAAAACAATTTTGTTTATTGGGTATGTCACCGGATCTTGGTCAATGTAAATCAAAGACAAAACAAGGTGAACAATGTAAAATGTACGTCAATCGATCAGAATGTGAATATTGTACAGTGCATGCTTATCATTTATATACTCATCAAAATAAAGTATCATCAACATCGAGAATGAATTTACAAAGTACCGGTGCATTTGCACCAAAAAAATTTTTATACAATCAAATTATGGATGGTACGTGCTATGGTGGAAAAATGTACACAGCAACAACACCTAAGCATAAGAAAAGTTCAACAGCTCCATCAACACCAAAATCGTCGAATGAACGTTTAAATGATAAAGAAAAATCATTGTTAGTTATGCTTGGTATTGAACAAGATCCGCTGATTTGTGTTAGAACGGAAAATGCCAGAGGTATGGGCGATACAATTGCAGATATTAAACAAATCTACCAGACAAAACGAATGAATCAGTCAAAAAGAATAGAATATGATGAAACGAAAAGAGATGAACTACCGTCAAAACTATCAGTGTCTCATCCTTTACCACCATCACAACCAACAGCAGTATCACAGACAAATACACGTAAGATTTTTGAGATAATTTATACGGAGCAATGAGCGATGTCAGAAGTGAAACTGATGAATAGCTCCTCCATTCATAAGATATCTGGTGTTAGTCCGTATCAATCTTGAAATGTAGGAAAATATATGTGAAAACCTGAAGGTCTTTTAAATTATCAAGAAAAAAATCACCTTTATATCGTTCTTATTTCCTTTCTAGAAAATAAAACAGCAAAATATGTTGATTTAAGTATTAAGCCAAGTAACGAAGCAATTAATACTGCAAAGCAGCGTGCCATTGACATTTTAAAACAACGATTATCACAGAAGCAACAAAATGAAAGTACAACAAAACGAAATGATCAATCATTAGTATTAGCTACAACAACAACCTCAAACAAACGTTCAATTGATTCAGATGAAATTAATTGTTCAAAACGCTTAAAACCATCATCAACTAATGAGAATGATGATGAAAATAGAAAACAACGACAACGTTTTGAAGATGTAATGAATATTAAATCGTCTCATGCTAATGTTTATGATGATATTACTTTACAAGAATGTTTTGATACGTTAAAGAAAAAAGAAGAAATTGAAGAAAAGTTGTTAAAAGTGACAGAACGTACAATTAAAGTAATTGTTTGTCGTCTATGCCATTATACATCTTATAAACAATCGATATTATGTAAAAAAAAACAACATACAGTTAAAATATGTGATGTTCAACAACGATTCTTCGAATGTTGTGATTGTGGTCAACGAGTATTTACATGGAATAAATATCCTGAAAATAATTGTACAAAATGTCGTTGTACAAAATTCAATCGTACCTCGTTGATACGCGAACGACATGGACCAAAATTAGAAGGTGAAATTTTACTATTAAGAGGTGAAGAAGAAACATTTTTGAACTCATATGCAACGTATGAAAAATTACCGTCAGTTATATGTGATACAGAAGAATGATTAAACGTTCAGATAAGAATTGTCAGATTATTATGATTTATTCTTTTGTGATAATTGTTTCCTGTATATATATTTTTATCATGTCTAGTCGGTTTTCTGTGAAGTCAACAATATGTCACGTTATTTTTGTATAAAATTGTTAATTGTATATGATCATAGTTTTTCATAATAGAAAGTAGTTTCATGAAAGATTTCGCCAATCGCTCTTTAGGTCTCATTTTAACGATATTTTTAGACAACGTTCTTTGCTTTAAATCGCTGCAGTTAAATGATTCTGTCTACAGTTTTATTTGGGTTTATGGTTTCTATTCACCTAGATTTCATTGAAATTGTACTTTCTTTTAGCGTCTGCTCAGCAAATTTTCAAGATGTTCATCATTGCAGATTTTTTTTAAACAAATGACAAATACGCAGGCTAGTATCATTCATGAACTAGCTGATTTGCTTCATATAAATGGTGAGCGATAAACTTTTTTTTATTATACTCGTTATTTTTACTCACTTTGAATGTTGTTTTTATCTAGGTCATCGCGTATTGCAAGGGGAGAGTAAAGTGTGTTTTACCAGTGATTCCTTAACATTATTATCCGCTTATTTTCAAGTTCTTAAACTAGATACACCACTTAGTAATGGAAGAACAGACTTGATGCCACATGAAAATTCATTAGGAATACCAACAAATTGGAGGATAGACAATAAATTAAAAGAAGATCTTTTATTCCTAAATGATTTTCTAAAAAAAACTATTGCTGTTAAAGTAGGCGCATTTTAAAAATAAGTAGATTTACTTTTTTAATTAACTTTTTTGTGATAGGTAATTCATAATTCGACAACATTACAAGGAAGTATTCATTTATATCTATTTCAAAATGTTGTATGTTTGGAATTGAAGAAGATCCCTTTGCACATGACAACTGGTCTGTCTCTATTGCGAAATCAATTAGAAACATTAATTTGTTCTCAATCAATAACAAAAGTAGAAGTAGGTTTTTTTTCAGAAAATCTATGTGAATCTATCTAATTAGGTAAAATATTTTTATCCTTTAGGAATTATTAAACGATTGTGGTGGTGATCATGCATTGATGAACCCTTGGCCTCGTTTAAAAGGTTTATTTCTTAGTCACAATTTTATTGAACGTTTTGATCGTTCTTTGGTAAGTATTTGATCTTGTTGTATGGATCAACATTTGTTTAGATATCTGTTTAGACATCACTCATTGCACTTGAAGTACTCGATGTGAGTCATAATCGTTTACATGACTGTTCAACAATATTTGACGTAAGCAGAATCTCATTAAATTCATTGATAAAAGAAAAATAATGTCTCTATTTTTAAAGTTTCTTCCAAAACTTCAACATTTAAATTTATCATGTAATCTTTTACGCGTTATTCCTGTTTGGTCAATGAACAGTACCGAATGTAATCTGTTAACATTGAAAATGAGACAAAATCGTATTGAAAGTGTAACAGGTAAATACACGCCAACAGCAACGTTTCGTGAAGTGATTGTACAAAATAAAATCTTAAAGAAGCACTATTTTATGAATTTTTTGGTGTAAAATAAACATTAATTTATGGGTTTTTCAGGAATAGATTTGATGAGCTCAATTGAAGAATTGGACTTGAGTGAAAATTTTATAACAACCATACCACAACAGTTACGTTTAATGACAAAATTGAAAAAGGTGAAAGATAGTGTACGATCATTTTTCTGTTATAATCGTTTTTCTTATTTATAGGTCAATTTAGCTGGAAATCCAATATCCTATCATAGCAATTATCGACAAGAAATTTTAATGAATTTGCCTCTTGAATGTGCCAATCCTGAAAGAATAGTGAGTCTATTGTATTTTTGAAAAATAATTTGATATTTCAATATTTTATTTTAGTTTTATATTGACGATCGACGACTAACATCGAAAGATAAATATGTAAGTCTTCATTGTTATATTATTCATTCATACTTCATTTTGACTGCATTATTTTATTTTAGGTAATTCCACGAATGCGTCCTGCAGCTAGGACACAGCTGGCACTTTATTCGTCAGGTATATCATCACAAACTCAAAGTGAATCTACAACAGAAGCATCCGAGTCAGTAGTGTCGAATTCAACTGGAACCATTGTTTCACGTCGGTGTGTATTTAGTTTCAAATTAATGAACGTATAATTTTATCTGTTGTTTTTTTCTTTGTTTCTATTCAAGAAAACCTCGTCGAAGAAGGAAAGATCGTTTTTTGCATTCAACGGATAATGATGAAACTGTTACTGAGCAAGGTAAATTGCAGAAACAGAGATAGACTGTTGCTAGATCTAGATAAGGATATGAAATATTAAAAATTAAAAATTGAGAATAGATTTTGTACAGAGTTTAAATAAAACAAGATAGAATGATCTATACGCCATGAATAAAGTTTTTTCTGTTAAATCTAACAGGTACCTCTAGGTCTGGTTCTGAGACCGAACTTATTAAACATCAGTTAGAAAAATTGAAAGAATCAAGACAAAAATTTGGTCAGGATTGGTTGTTAACACAGACAAATTTTGATACAACGATAAATGTTGGTAATGGTTATAATGAACAACAACCGATAACAACGGTAATTAGTGATGAACAAGATTTGGCTGAAATTGAAACAACTGTAATTATTCAAGTAAAATATTTTTTTACACTGTAGTTTTCTTCATCTAAAAGACGTTGTTTTCCTACATTAGTCTCCAAAGAAAAGGAAGACTCCACGTATGAAACGAAATTCTGGATCACTGAATCAACTGGTTTTTCAAGTGGTTGACGATGGGAATAGTACGGATCAGCAATATCAGACAATGCTATCTGAAACAGAATCACAACGCTCAGGTACAAATGTGCCCGTCCAGTCTGACATTGAAAATAAAATCAATGAAATAAAAATAGAACCAGAACCCATATCACTTCCAATAGAAACCCAGACAAGTGACGGCGGTATGAAAAGGGAATAAAAACTTTCTTTTTAGTGAATTTTAACAAAAATAATCTTCAGTTATCTAGATAGTGTAAAAACCACATTCATTGTCAGTGTTCAATTGACTCCTTCAATAACAGATATGAGTACAAGTCAAGAATATTCAGCTATTGTTGAAATTAGCGCATTGCATCTTATTGAAAAAGATGCTGCAGAAGAATGTTTGGCACAAATAAAATATTCATCAATCAATTTGAAAGATAATAGTCATAGGTACTCGCTCAATTATTCAATGTTATAAGCATGTCACACTCATATTTTGATTTTATATTTTAGCAGTGATAATAAAATTGTAGAATTCACATGGGAACATCCTACTGGAAAACGCGATTTAAGGCGATACGTATTTGATACAGTGAACGATCGTGATGTAATAGAATTTAATTTATATCAGTATCAATTTTTTTATTCTCTATTGAATTTCGAATAATTTAGTCTTTTATTGATGAAATTCAGCGCTTTCTTAAACCTGCTGTGACAAGTGTACAAGAATTAATACAATATGAGGTATTTTTATAACACAATAAAGCTCTGAATCAAACAATTTAATGTTTTACTTTTTTCTTAACTAGTGTACAAAGTGCGGCAATACGTTTACATCATATTACAGTGGTAATTTAAAAATTTGATGAAATAGTTTCTGAATAATTCAATTATCCTTTTTTGTTTTTAGATCAAACACTATGTCCTACTTGTTTAAATTTTCCACTAGGATCAGCAACTATGACATCCATGTGAGTTAGTTTCTTTCGGTATTTTATTAATGTACATGTATGTTTTTCTAGCGCGAATGATGATGATAAAATAACGACGAATAGTGAAAATGATGATGACGAAGAAGTGGACAACTTTAATAAAGCTGATTTGAATCATCGATTGCATTTACATTTAGCCGTTGATCATTTTCAAGCAGAAAAAGAAGATATCAAACTTCATTTTCAAGTATATTATAATACAAGTTTTAATGATAATAAATAAATTAGATTAAAAAATATTATTTTCATTTAGTGTTCAGTAGTTTATTCCAAATTAAGTTTATGTTTTATTGCACAAACGATATTGACAACACGTGCAATTTATATATTTCGTCATGAAAAGTATCTAAAGATTTACTGTTTTTTTTTTAATCTATATAACGAATGTTTATTTCTGATAGATCACAAATTAATAGTGAGAATATTGAAGATGAATATATATTAGTTAGTAAAGATAATATTGAAAATATTCTTATGTTGGATGTTGGTTATCGACAACAAATATTTACAATTGAATTTCATTCCGGTGCATTTGCGTTTTTAATTGGTGATCCGAAAAAAACACAAGTGTATGTCAATGGAATATTGGGTATGTCTAATTTATATTAATAAACAATTACTTTTATGTCTAACTTATTTTGTAGGGATTCTATCACCATTCGTTGAGCGAGGTGAAAGTGCATTACAACAAATAAGTCGTATCAATTCAGATATGTATAGAAACAAACTATTTGATATCATTAAGCGAGAATGCGATGTTGACGAACCTAGTGATGAAATGATTGATTTTTATACGGTTATGATACGCTTAGAAGATGGTAAAACATATACTTTACCTCTCTTTCTCTATCAAATTAATAGATTTTTTTGTTCATTTTGACAGAAAAGCGTTTGCCAATTGCTTTGCTATTATTTAAAAAGTGGATTTTGATGATAGAAGATGAATATCAGATAATTAATTCAAGACATGTTCGTTTACCATCACAGTCGTCATCTACCTACGAAAAAACACATAAATTCAAATGTAATCTAATGCATATTTTAAATGTGGTATGTATCATAAGTTCAGTCACCTTTATCGTGTTCTAATTCATCTGATCTCATTTATTAGACTGTTTATAAACAACGACCTAATTGTTTTAAAATTGACTATGTTGACGAATCTGAAACACAAAACAATTCATGGGAACTAGAAAGTACGACAATTTCTAGTAAAAAAGATTTTATCAAACAACTCTATTCTGTATATGAAAAACTAATGCATGTAGTGTTACCAGAAAAAATTGTAAGTTAAAGTTTAATGAAACATGATGAATAGTTTAACAATAATAAATACTTTTAGGAGGATTAATTTCAACGTTATATATTCATTTTTTGAAATTATTTAACGTATTATATGTAGCCGATCAAGTTATCATTGTCCATCTATTTTTATTTATCAATATGTTTGTTCCTAGCTAGAAGTTTATTTTGCTTTTTGTTTTGTTAATTAAATATTTTTCTGATACTTTGTACGTTTATAAAATTATTTGCATTTAGTAATGAACATACGAAAAACAACGTTTTCTTCCAGTTAAATGCGCTGTATCACATTCCAACCATTGTTAAAGTGAACCCGAAGACTAAACAGAAGGAATAATATAGTTCCATTTCCAAGTTCTATTTTATGAAACGTGACTTCAAGACGTACAAGCACAGACATAAACAAATTTACAAATTGTTCTATCGGTATATTTAAAAAAAGAGTACACGAAAAGAGTACAGCCTATATGCACAATTCAAAAACTCATAATTATTTTAAAACGCTTGGATTTTCACAACCCATATATATCTTCAAGTTTACTGTCACTAAGAGATCTATCTATTATTTTCTGTTGCAGAAAAGGTTCTCGTACAGAAGAGGTGCCGTCATTCGCGTCGCTTTATCTCTAATTTATATTGGCCGACATTGCGAAAACTTTTTTGAGGCCCTTAGATGTCTCAGGCATTAGATATCATGGCTCATTGATACTTTCTCACCGAGAGCAGTAAAGAAATTGCTGGAAATCATTAAACGTTTTCTAGAAATCCTTTAGATACTTAGAACCGAGGGGTACTTTTTATTCCAAAGGGTAAAAAGCACATTCCGGAATGGGTACAACATTTCTGGAATGCCATTCTGGAATGGCAGAATATCGCCTTAATACAGCGGACTGGCATTCTAGAATAAGAGAAACTTGTTTGTGCTGGTTCTAAATATGAGCAAAAATTTTGAATCTGTAGTGAAATAAAGGTTACCAGAAGGATCAGAATTTATTTTATTTGTTCGCTATTCTCCCGTATGTCAAACAAAAAAGATATGATTGTCGTTAGAAAAAGCAATGCCGCCTACACAATTATTTTCCATGTACACGAAAAAGTCTATCAGTTTAGAATGAGATGTTCCATTTTTTTACCGTTTAATTATGTTCAACTGATGAGAAAATATGCTTTTCAAAATGAGATAGAGTAATAGCTGTATACAAACGTTTTCACTGTATGTGAGTGCATATGGTACTTTATTTTTTGTATCGACTGTTAACACACGCTAGGCCGTGCACATATTGAATATACATGACTCGTTTACACTTCTCAGTGGTACTAATACAAAATTTGACTGCTTTTAAATAATATAAAAACTTTACACAAAACAAAAGCAAATTTTCCTGTAGTTTGGCACAAATAACTATAGTAGTGTGCTTACTTATATTATAATATAGAATTTTAAAGAAGGTAATTTTTAAAATTTTATTGTAAATTATTTTTAAAAAATATAAAAGTCTCTTAAAAAATCTTTGGCTTATTAAATTATTAAAATAAAATATTTTTTATAATATATGCCTTGTGGTTGTATAAAGTTACGATTGCGGAGAGAAACATTTTTTTTTTATTAGTAGAGAAAATAATAAAATAAAATAAATTCATCAGATTAAATCAAAGTTACTAATTTTTTTACTGGTTCTAAGCTTGGAATATTATTCACAAACAATGTGAATTCATAGGTAATCGGCTATCGTGCATCTAATGAACCCATGCTCGACGTTGTGGGAGAATCTTTATGGAATCTACAGAGAACTTTTTCAGAAATAATGGGATAAATCTGATACAACGGGTTTTTATAGAAAATCAGCTACGGCGGATCCAGTAGCAAATCTACATGTCCAAAACCCCTGTATCTCTAAAAGAACCTTTTCGGCAGCATTGTGAGATTTGATGTTCTACAGCGAACATTGATAGGAAATTGAATATTTTGTTAGACCTTCATATGTCAATAAACCCGGAATGGTTTTCTGGCGATCTCCTGGAAATCCTTTAGTGACCCATGAGGCCCTCTAGAGATCTTGTGAAGATCTCAAAAATATACCCATTAGATGTACCATAGTTGATTACTTATGAATCCACTTTCTCTGCGCATAATATTTCACGCTTTATAGCAAACTACAAATTGGATTAAAATTCGAAGGAACAAGGTCTCTTAACTAAATAAAAAAGACAGAGCAACTATTTTTTTATTTCTCATCGTAACTTTGGACTACTACAATAGTAATATATGAAGCTAAATTTTGAAAGAAATTCATGTTGTATATCAAAAGTTATAAGTAGTCCCACTGAGTAGTGTAAACGAGTCATGCAAAAAGAAGAAAAAACGTGCAGTATATTAAAATGAAAGATTTGCTTTCGCTCGTAGTTTCTCTTACAACGTTTATTATCCCCTGAAAATTAGACTAAAAGTTCGACTTCTGAAAAGCGGAATGGTATTCTAGAATAAAGGTATTCCGGAATGAGTACACTTACCTTGTGGTACTTTTTTCCCGTTGCAAAACTCCCACGGGACTCCTGTCACGGGGCTTGCCGGGATCCTGTGAGAGCCAGTTGGGACTTTCAAGGGACTCCTAAGGACTAGCTCAGGACTTCTATGGGACTTTGAGGACTTTCAAGTCCTACGGGAGTCCAACGAAAGTCCTCAGTGTACCACGGGAGTCCTCAGGAGTCCCTTGAAGGTCCCTCAGGACTAACTCCCGCAGGATCCCATGACAGGAGTCCCGTGGAAGTTTTGTTGGGAGTCTCGACGAAAGGTAAAGATATTAATCGCATCGTTCACTATCGCCATCTATAAGGTGAGAAAAGAAAGTATGCTTAGCTCATTTTTATCTCAAGACGTTGTTTATCTGTCTCATTCACTCTGACTGTTCTTCCTCATCTACTCTCACATGTACTGTACCAATTCTTGCATTGTTAGAGAATGATCCCTAAAATACCTAAGACCATTTTGCTGTGTTTTGCGGTCAGACAGATAGAAACTCGTTTGTAAGATCGGAGACTAAAAACTCGAGGAAATTAGTTGATTCTAAAATCACATGTTATGAAACAAATAAAGCTTGTTTCATAATCATAAGAAGAAAAACTATGAACACTTGAATAACAACACTGTAAAACTAATGTAGTAAGGGTAATGTGTGATTTATTTCAAGGAAATTCATGGCGTCCTAGTCTTTGCACAAATTGTCATCAAAACGTATCCATGCATCATAATAAGAAAACGGAGGAAATGACCAGCGGCACTATGTTGGAAGCATCATCATCAATGCATTTGTACGAAGAAATAATGGCCACGTATTTATCAACAGAACCCGTCGTTGTACCTCAACAATTGCCAGTAGAAAATTCAAATATTTCAATCGAACCAGTTCCTATAGTACGACAATCACAATTGAGAAAATCATTACCAATCAATTCAAATATTGTTACTGAAGAGAAAGTATTCTGTGATCAAAAAGTGAAATCGGACATTGTAGTACCACCTACTGTGCCTCACAGCGAATCTTTGAACGAAGAACATGTCGACGGTAATGGTATTACAAAACTAGAAGATGAATCTGAGGACACATTCTCAGACGATGATGAAATTGTATTGAAACCAATAGCCGCTGAATATCCAACTAACCGAGAAATTGTCATTGAAGGACCAACGCTTGGTGCTTCTATAGTACAAAAAAAGAAGAAGGTGAAAAAATCCAACAGCACTGCAAATAATCATGAACGTGGTGAAAACAATAGTTTAAAAACTTGGTTTAATGCTCTAAAGTTAAAAAAATCGTTAAACACTACGACAAATGGCTCGACCAATCAAAAAAATACGTCTGCAGTTGTAGAAAATAAATCTGAAGAAGGAAGTACAAAGGCTGTGATTTGTCCTCAAGAGGTTCGTATCCATAGCTACTACGGATCTTTTGGTTATATTGAAAACCCAACACTGCCTCTTTTATGTTTACATTTTTTTTGTTCTTTCACCTTTTAAGACAAATTTAAATGGTAGCAGTTCGCCATCAAATAATCTAACAGCAAATACTGAATTTCAAACCTATCGTGTTAGAGTTCTTCCTGAACTTAGAAAATTAACAGCAAGTGAAGGTTAGTTACATTAGCATCAGTAGATTTTTAGGTTATGAATGAAAATTGAACTTTTTACCTTTTTAGCACTGAATATCGCTCGTCGTCAGCATCACTCATTATATCAACAAGATTCACCTAAACCTGTATTACTTAAAAAACTGACACAACATAGTTCAGTTAATTATTCATCTTCCATTTCGAGTACATCCAGTTCTTCTACTCAATCCTCTTCTTCAAGTACTGATTATGAATCATTACGAGCTAATGAAAATACTTATCTTTTACCAACATTAGTAAACAAAAATTCTCATGATCCACCAGCATTAATTCATTATCTTGATAATGTAAATAAATTAACAATTGAACAAATTGTAAATGAATTAAAAATTATCTTGCATGACTATAAATTAAATTTACCTGTTATCGAATTTCAAACATTAAAAAGTTATTTGCAACCATCATCAAAGATTAATAGAGAATATCAGTCACGATACATTATATTATTACAAATTGTTCATGAATTTCGAATATTTTTATCCTATCATTCAAATCGTACAGTTGATAGTACATTTTTTGATGAATTTCTTTTATCATTATTGGTTGCTCAACATTCAATACCAATTGTTGTTTGTTCAAAGTTATTAAAACAAAAACCATATCATTCTCAAATACAAACAATAATAACTAAAGATGTGTCTCTCTTTATCAAAGAATTTGATTCAAAAATCATTAATTATATATTTGATAAAAATGAATTTGTACAACAATCGTCAGATATTAATCAATTTTTATTTAACATAGAAAATCAATGTTGTCAATGTTTATATGAATATCTAATTCAATCGATGAACGATGTGACAACAATTGATAAAACTAATCCAATTGCTCAACGAGCTTATTTACTCAATTTATATTTTAGAAAAATAAAAACATTTCATACATTTAAAATAAATGAAAATAATGAAAATGATATTATTATTCTCTACTATGTTATGTTAAATGTAAAAATGAGTTAGAAAAAATTAATTGCTTATAATGTCGAACAGTTATCGATAATAAACTACTTTTTTCTTTAATATAAATTGCAATGGCAATCATTTTCAAAATGTCTTTTATGTCAGATCTAGACTTTATCTTTATTCCATTATTTTATGTGCACTTTTAAATTTTTGAAGTAATCATTTTTTAATTTAAATAGTCAGATGAGCAATAGATATCAGGGACTTTTTCTTTTTCAGTATACCTTTTTTTGTTTCGTTTCAAATAGTCATTATTCGTATGCCATATATTGTTGTTGTTGTTGTTTTCACTTAACTATGTGTTACCTCTTGTGTATTAATAATTTTGTCCTGTCGTGTAATAAATTATATTTCTTGATGTCGTAATTAAACTTTCTATTCACTAGATCTAAAAAACAGGATCAACATGATCGTATTCTCTGAATGATTTTGCGTCTTTTCGATAAGTTTCTGTCATATTCTATCCGCAACATAAACATAGTTATTGTGATGAACAACGGAACATTAACAAAAAAATATCGTTTATCTGTCTTTCTAAGTAACATGGGAATATATTTGTTTTGACTTGGTCGTCTTTTTTTAAAATAATTTTGGTAATAGAAATCATCGTTTTTCAAGTCATATAGTTGTTTGTTTGCAACTAAATTCATTACAATAATTTGGTAAACAGCTATCCGAACGTGGCGATCAAATAATGTTTTGAATTGTATTTATTTAAATATATTCTTCTTACAAGTGAAACGCATCTGTATACACTATTTGTGTTTATTAAAGGGACCATAAAATATTATTTACAGTTGTACTGTCGAATTGTCGATAGCTGAATACATGTCGTTTAGAGAAATGTCCATCGGAGTATAGAGAAAATGGCTATGATAATCTACCGTAGACTCAGCTAGCATATTGTGATCATCGTATAATTATAATCGTGCATGAGACAGATTTCAACGTTTATAAATATGACAGAGAATAACTTATTGCTGGTAAATTTTTTGTAAGCGCGCAAATGAATACCATAACTATTCTATCAAAATCCCTACTATTTTTTGGACAAAAAACAGCACCGAATCAGAGTAAACAGTAAATCCAATAAACGGATACAAATCAGATCTGTATTTCAGAGCCAAAATATAAGAAACTAGTCCTACTTTGAATATCTTAATGAGAAGACAAATCAGAATTTTATATTCTCTTTTCTTTTCAAAAAGTCATTGTAACTAATAATTCATTAAACAAATTATTTTCATTGTATTTATTATCATTAACTATTTATAAATGATCGGCGTCATCAACATTTCCTTTTTCTATTATCCTCTTCTATTTATGTTCCATTGACTTCATCCTTGCGATCAGCATCATTCGAAGATTCAATTCTTTCTCCATTCTCTTTATGTAATCATCTAATTAAATAAATAAATAAATAAATAAAAGAATTGTTCTGTCTAAATGTTAACAATAGAAACTAGTGTTGAGATTGTAGCCTTAACAACGAAAGTACTGAAACGAAACTATAAACATAAAAAGGACAATTCTTGATTTTTCTTGAAACAGAATAGAATCTTGTAATCTTGCTTTTCTTTGATTAAATCATTAGTTTAATCTTAACATTAGTATTCTCCTAAATACTGAAATCCAGCTCTCCACTTACACTCGAAGTAAACTTGAAGAATGAATGAAATTACTGAGAATATGATAGAAATTAAAATGTCACTTTATTCACTCAAATGATAATTTTAATTCTTCCACATTCTGAAACAACGGTAACATTTTAATTTTACAGCCGCCAAAGTTTGTTTGTCATTATCTCTTCATTTTTATCTATCAATAATAACATTCTCCAGCTTTTATGACAAGAAAATATTTCTCAAAAAAAGAAACTAATTTAGTTAAAGTTCGTTCTCACTTTTCGGCGAAAGATTTGTGATCAGCATGTAATTCTTCAGCGACACTCACTTTATACATAAATTGATTAATCTTGATCAGCAATTTGACAGATATCACAATAAGCAGAAATGTTGAAGCTTTTTTATAATGAACACTTAAAAATTTGATATTGATTCAGAACTATCGAATGATGTTCTATATTCCGCTAAGCCATCACATGGACATGTATAAATGTTTTAAGTTGAATTGAATTATTCTTGTATGGATAATCAATACACACAACAAAAACTTGACATTGCTACCAAAAACGATTTTGAAATGAAGAACACATTGCTTTGATATGTATCGATGGTTATTTCAATTAGTTAACTTAGATAAATATTGACTGTTCGTGTGGTCGGTTGATGTGATGATTTAATACAGATGATAGTAAATGTTTCAAGCATGAAAGTTTTAGTTATTTTAAACTAAAATTATTTAGTATGTCTTAAAAGTAAATTTCTAATTTTACCAATAGAAAATAGAACAAACTTTTTAATCGCAATTGATGTGATATCTCAGTTGCTATTTAACGATTCTAAACTATGCATTTGATGACGACAGTAGTCATCTAAAATATTTGATTTAACGAATTAATAAATTGAAATTTTGATATTGACAAAAAAAATCGATGAAAAGACATATGTATGATGCACGTCAGACTTGAATTCAGATTTGAAAACAATGGTCAAGATTAACCCTTTGAGTACGGGATTATTTTCTCAAAAAATAATCCCTCCAAAGTAGCAACACCCCTGTAACTAACTCAAGAACCATAGTAGCTAGCCCCTAGAGAATGTACTTGATGCAAGTACTTGATTACTTGCTAAGTACTTGGAAAAATTGGCAAGTGTTTTCAAAATTTCTCACTTGCCATGTAATTGAAAGAGTCGAAGGGTTTTCTAGCTTTTGTAAAAATCAGAAGGGTTTTTTCTTAATTGCATTTGATTTAGGGAAACATCGTTTTTGGTTTTTCAAGTGGCGAAGGATTTTCCAGTTTGAGCAAAAGATCAAAAGGGTTTTTTAAATAGAGTTAATCGAACACTTTATATTTCGAAATCCAACAAACAATTTATCTTAACCCTTTCTTGCCTCTAGTTAAACCTGAAGGTCTTGAACCAAAAATTATAGGGATTATAGGTTATCGAGCATGCTGATGCCGAATATGCCCATGGAGGCTTCCCATAGATCTTCGAAGATCCAGCCTTCTGGAAAACCAGTTTTTCAGAAACTCTAAAAAATAACCAAAACCTTTCTTAACAAGACGTGATTTTAGAGTGCAAATTTCTGATTAAAATAACACATCTCTGAGCTCTACATGACCTTTCTTTGCAAAGTTATAGAATTTAGAAGAAAAGCTAATTATTAATTTTTTCTTTCTTTTGTAGCTTTTG